AAAATGTCTGGACATCTTTTGTCACACACACCCACGGAGCAGATTCATGCATCTACAAAAGCATATTACACTCTGTTACTCACCGCTTTTCCCCACATCACCCTTAGAGAAAACACACTCTCACGCGGTGACGTGGATGGACACCCACACATCCTGGCTTGTGATAACTGTGGGAAACCATGATGGCAGGAGATTGCTGGCAGTACTCGCGGATGATCCAAAGAGAGAATCCTATGCCATATTTTCCCTACTCCTACCAACTGCCTTCGCTGACCGCTGGGCTTCAGTGGGACTTGTTGTTTTTATTGTTTGTTTTTCTTTTTTGTGCCATAATTCATCTTACTGCTATAGGTCACTATACGCTCACTGGCCACTTTATTAGGTACACCTGTCCAACTGCTCATTAATGCAAATAAATTGGGAAGAAAGGTGATTTAAGTAACGTGGAATGGTATTTGGTGCCAGATGGGTTGTTCTGAGCAATAGAAACTCAAATAACCACTAGTCACAAGCGAAGGTACTAAGACTTAAATATAATACAAACTCCTCCTAGATATTTTTATTTGTTCATCTCAAAACTCCATTTATTATTCTATCTTAAGGTATATGGGATGTTAATCTGTGAAGGTTTTTCTGACTGCACACTGTAGCCGTCGGAGTTACGAGAGCCCTTTGATTGCTGCTTTCAGCTTCAATGCTAGACTCACTTTTTCAAAACACACATAGCAATCCCAATTTTAATGAAGTTTACCAATTCCCTTTAAACTACCTAAACACCAATTTTTAGGTTGCCTACAAAGAAATGGAAAAGTCGCTAGAAAGAACAGATCGCAGAACCACTGATTTGTTTTGTTGAGCCGTTCACAAAAAAACCCAACAACCCCTTCAAACAAACACACACGCACACACATGCAGTTCTCTGGGTGGAGCAGATGCTGTTTAGCTGTGGTAATTTGAATATATTTTTGGGTCAATCGCGTGCTCGCAAGAGACACATCCACGCCTTCCATGTGCTGAACAATTTAAATTTTTAATACTCCATTTAAATATATGGGCCACCTCTGAGGCAATCTTCCCATGCCAAAAGCCCCTCTGATTTACGTGAGGAAAACAAAGGCTCTCATATCTGCTCTTACCTCCCTGGCTACAGTTATCTTTAAACCATTTCACCTTAAGGAAGAATCAATATGCACAATTATTAGAAGACGCCACACACAGCTGTCTCTCTCCTCTAAATATCCTCTCATTTACCACCGCTTTTCTTCCATCCTCCTTCTCTTTCTATCCATCTCTACCTCATTCCGTCTTTCTCCTTGGCAACTCACAGGGTATAATATTTAATTACGCTTTATAATTTATGCAGGTTATCAAAACTGTGAGAGCATCATTTTATGTACATTGGGCAAATTGCTTTTTTCCCCTCCTTTTCTTGAGTGGTGATGGTAGGCTGGAGGAGGAGAGGGGGGTGATTCTTTGCAGGCATAGACAAAGATATTGAAGCTGGGTGCAAATGTGAAATGAATAAACAGGGTGGATCTCTTCTTCAAGGCCCCAAATGAGATCTGTAGGAAATAATTTAAACCAACGATAGCACCATTTATCATTGAAGAAGAAAAAGAGAAGGAGAGAGAGAGAGAGAGAGATTTGTGCCCCTGGCCCTGACTGCAGCAGCCAGCATCCTGCCACCATAAAAGAGCCATTACTGTAAACAGTGAACGTGTCCTCGTCTCCCGAGCCCCTTGTACAGGTAAAGTCTACAGCTACCAGTTACACCTGTGGTTCTATTCTGGTTTCTCAAGGAAGACTCTTCACCGTACCTGAATGTAAGCATGCAGCCTATACTTTTTTCAAGGCTGTGATTTCATTACCTGACTGTGTACTTTCACTTAAGTCAACTCTAAATGTGTTTGCTTCAATATCGGGCTACGAAGGAATATAAGCTGACAAGAGCCGTACACAGAGAGTTTTGTTTGCTGATTTTACATAGAGATCACAGACTTTAAAAGCGAAAAAATTATAATTAAATGATTAAAATAAAATTATTTTCCACAGTTTGCTTTTGGAAAAACTGCTTTATATTTTCTTTGTTTACATTTACTTTCTCTCACTTTAAATTATCAAGGACGGTTCCAAATATAATAGTGGTGGGACCAGCCACCATTGATGTCATTAAGCCATTCAGTTAACTTAAGCAGTTATTATCAATGCTGTAAATATGGTTCAGTGTGCCAACCTCACCTGCTGGCATTCTTGTACACGGATCCTGTACAGGAACAAGAAATACCTCAAATCTAGAAAGCTCTTCCTAGATCAAGCAAAACGTCTGATGCAAATTTGACTGATAACAAAGCAGACAACAAATGTTGATGGGTCTTACAAATAAACAAAATCTCTATGGTTTTCAAACTATTTTGATAGTTTAAACTTGATAAAATATTAAATATAGAATATTTAAACTTGTATCTGGTCAAAAGTGATCTTAAAACAAGGAAAACCTAGGATGCTTTGTGCATCAAAACAGATACAAGTTGGTCTTAAATTAGAAATATTTGGTAATATTTTAATGAAATGAGCGTTCATTCAAGAATGCTGTGCTTAATTTTTGTGCTTAATTTTATCCAAAATAGAATATGAAAACAAGAAATTCTGGCTTAAAATGTATTCTGTTTTGTTTAGGTTTGGACATATTTGACCACTTTAACATTTTTTTGCTTGCTAGAAGAAGATTTGAACTATATTTAAGCAATTTTGTTTTGTTTTTGTTGTTTTGAAACTGAAAACAAATTTCTTGTTTAAAGATTCTATTTTAAAGTTTAGTGGCAAAATCAAAGGCTTTTTTAACCAAATTTCTTAATTCAAGCAAATACATGATCAGAATAAGCTTTTTTCTTCTTCTCAATAGACTTAGCCATAGTTTCTCATAATAAGCTACACAATCTATACCCTACAAGTCTAAGCTAGATGATTCTACTTAAAATATAAAAAAAAATCAAGATTTTTCTAAGATTTACGTGTATGCAGTGTAGACCATGTACATGTACAACATTGTGCTAAAACCTTTAAGTAAAGAAAGCTTTCATGATTTTAAATAATGATTGTATATTGTTGCAAATTTAGAAAATGTAAAGTGCGCAAAAAAAAGAAATGCAAAATTTTTGAAGGTATTTGTAAAACTCTGGTATTTTTTAGGATTAAAGTTGTGTGATAAACCAATACACTAAAAAGCTGCAAATTATCATCAGTGGTTCAAATACAGTCATTAACTGAAACATAAACCACAAGGTAAGAGGTTTAAAACTGAATAAGGAACACCCAAACATTGCCATCTTGCAGGTCAAGACATGAGCAAGGTCTCTACCAGACAAACATTTCAATGCAGATTGCGGTTTTTAGGAATTTAGCACCTGTGTATTCCAATGACCCTGACATATGCAGGAAAGATAGATAAATGGACTTTGTTGTTTAAAAAAGTAATGCTTACTGACATAGTATGGTGTTTCATGCCACACCATCATTGTGATAATGGCCAGTATTTTCAGTAAATCATTTCCTGAGTCACAAGGTCGTTTGTTCAACAGCATAATGAGAACTGGCTAAAGCTGCATACACATAAGGCAGATACAAAGCTTAATAATCAGATAATCTGCTTCTAAAATGACCAAGATGACAATCAGGAGATAGCCACTGCAGGCTGTGTGTATTCTCAATTGTTGTACTGTCTACAATCGAATCCTGATTTGATGAAATAGTGGATAAAGTTTTATTTTTAAAGATGTGCAATTATTCATTTTACCAAGGAATATGATTACAGGCTGCATCTCTGAGGCTAGATCTCTGCTGCTGAATACACTTTTTTGTACAATTTTTACTAATTGTTTGTCGGTTGTGCATGCATGTAAACTGTATTATTTCACCACAAGCCGTAATGTCATCAATAAAATCTCAAGCTGGCCAGCAGACATGGGTAAGGCAAGATATTGTTGTCATTTGAAGCAGTTGTCTGATTGAATATTCTAAACTTGGACACTTACTCCAGCCTGATTTAAAGATGAGTTAAAAATCCCACAATAAAATGAGATTTTCTTAAAAACTATGAAAACTCGAAAATAAAACTTTGATAAGTATATAAACAGCTAGTTTTAATTTCTAAATATTAGGATTATTAATTCCTACACAACCAATAAAGCACAGTTGAAATAACGTCAAAGAAGAATTAAAGAAAATAGCAATAAATCCAGATTTAGCTTAACTTTACTAAGTATTAAAATAAAACCCCCTCTTTTAAGTTCCAAGGATGATGTATGTCGGAAAAGTCCAGTTTTAGTATCTTTGTTTCTTATAAAGCACAGCATTCATCTGATGTTGGCAAGCTTGTTGAAAAGTGCACCTGTGTGTACAATCCATACCTCACCCAGCTGTCTCCCCCCCAACCAGGTGTGTCTATTTCACTCCATGCTACTATTAGCATTGCTAATGATCCAAATCTCCATACCTCTCTATATAATTAGCAGTAAAGATGACAAGCAACAATCAAAAAAGTCTGAGTTGCACTTTAAACGACTTATCAGCTGCATGAGAGAGACTTGTGCAAAAGCTTCTTTACTTTAATAACAGAAATGCTTCATTTCTTAGAATTAAACAAAAAGCTAAATGACCACAAGTGATAGTCATTTTTTTAATTAACATGACTCTAATAGGTTTATTGTGAAGTCACTGTGTTCAAAATCCTCATCCTACTATATTATGATGCTAAAGTTCAGATACAGTATGCAAATTTGCATTGTAAGTTTGACACAATAGCTAATGGCATTTTTTTAAACAGGGAAATTTTTTTACAAGAGAGACTGTACATTTGCTACTTTCCAGTACTTTAGACCCCCATTATTCCCTGTTCAGTTTTTCTATGGTTCCTAACACTTGCATTTATGCATTTTGCATATGCTTTTATCCAAAGCAACTTACATTTTGAACGAATTAACAAATTTTTGGTCAGTTCTTGCATTCCCTGATTTGAACCCACAACCTTTGTGTTATTAAAGCAATGCTCTACGAACTGAGCCACAGGAAAGGTGTTCAACCAATCCCCGGACTAAATAATCTGCAACTAATCAGGGAAAACCGATTTTGTAGATGTAGGAATCCCATGCAGATAAATGTTTCTACAGACACGGGTCACTATGACTGTGTCCCTTGTCCTCTATGAGGTCACTGCAGCACTGGAGCAATAAGCAGCATTCATGGAGCCCTAGTTAGTGGTTGGGTGGAGCCATTTAAGGTCAAACAATTGGGAAGTACTCAAACTTGCAGTTCATGCAAGACAGTCTAAGAATTTACAAGAGTTGTAGGCTTTTGCAGAGAGAAATGTATTGCTTTACCAACAGAGAAGATTAGATATTTTCTTTGACAATTACCTCAGGAGACTTAAAGGAGGGGAACTTTTGATCAGGGTATTTTTTTTTTCAAATATAATGTGTAGATTTCAAAAAGGTTACTAGTTTTTATATATTTTTATTTTTAAAGGAAACATTACAAAAGTTATGACACATAATTTGCAAGGTAATTCAAACTGAAATGTGAAAAAATGTGTGATCGTCTTACAGGTTGATTTTACAAACCCCAAATTAGTGCCATCTAGTGATAAAAAGAAGGTAAAACCCTTGGAAGTACAAGATTTGTGATATGATTTGTGTTTTTCAGCACCAAAACAGTGTATTCTGGCACCAAAACAGTGTATTGGAACTCAAATTGTATGATTTGGGTTTCTTTATATAATTTTCACACAGTTTTGACGCTTTTTTTTCATTTACAGGTTATAAAACATTCTTTTGATTTTTGTTATAAAACATCAACAATTGTGGAGACTTTGCAGTAAAAAATGAAATATTTTGTAATTGTGTTTCATACATGTTGCACGGTCAGCTCTGCTCTAGGCTATTCCTACATGGGCTCTGAGAGCAAATCACAGCTAAGCAGTGAAACTGGTCTATTACATTTTTTGTTTCCTGTTTTTCCCTTAAAGTGTCTCATGCTATCTTGCAATGAACCGAGAGATACAGAGAGGTTCCAGGAAAAGACTGAATAAAGGACTGGATTCAATCTAGAAATAAAAAGCCTTTGCTAAAATTAAAAGTCATTGCTGTTTAAATAAAAGCATTTTGAGTTGCATTAAAGCTAGAGGATGCATCCTAGTCATGATCGTATTCTTTGGATCAGTATTACTATTGGTATTTGTGGGTATTCCACATTTACTTGTGTTTTTACAACTTTTGCATGTATTTAAGTGCAAAACAATATAGATGTGCAAAACAATATAGATGTGCACCTGTATAAATTATTTTGACCAATATTTCCAATATTTAAAGGATTTCTGCAAATATGTGGGTGTAATTAAATCTAAGTTAAATTTTATTTACATGAAGAAAAAAAAAATATATATATATATATATATATATATATATATATATATATATACATATATATATATATTTTTTTTAATGTATATTGTAACAGTATTAAAAAAATACATAGATATATTAGTTCTATTTTAAAAATCTACTGATTATTCTACCTATATACTTTTGTATTTATTTACACCGTGGCTCCCAAAACTTCCTAAAGAGCCCCTAGCACTGTCCTTAAGCCCCCTGGGGCTCCTTAAACCCCATTAAAACCCGAATTTAGATGCATTTTTTCCAATTAGATTCTCTGCAAACAGCGTTCAAACTGGATCCCTTGATAAAGTTGCAGGCTGTTTCTCGCTCTGTGTGCATGGTGTGTGTTTGACTCTGTGTTTAAGGCTCTAGGGCATCACAGTCTCTGGGGTTTCTAAATGTCAACGACCTGAGGGCCTGATGCTCTTTCTAGCATCCCTAACACACACATCAGTCAGCCTCTGATTCTGCTCTGTGCCTGATAACGCTCGCTCATTCATCATGCTAATGAATCAAGCAAATTCATCATTATCTCCTTTACTTTCTGCACTCACTGTACACACTGGCTTTGCCTGTGAAAGTCATTTTGACTCGTTTCTATAGCGGAAGCACAGGAGGTTTAAGATTGAGAGGGCTTATGTGTGTTGTAACAGCAGAGAAAGCTTCAATCTTAATGTCTATCTTCCCTCGGCCTCTGGGAGTTGATACCAATCGTCCCCCACCTGCTAAACTTACTGACGTGCCTCCGCTCTGCCTTCTGCTCAGCTTGACGAACATAAATATGTAATTGGAGCACAAACAACGATGAGAGTGTGGGTATGAATCTGTGTGACGGGGGGAAGGAGACTGTGTTTGTGTGTATGAGTGTGTCTAAGTGAAAATGTAGTTTAAATGCTGTAAGCCCTCATTCCCTCGCCACCTTGCTTAACAGTCTTGTGTCAAGCGCATTGGGAGGGTTGTAAAGATCAGGAGTGTGACAGTGAGCATGTGCGATACACAGTGCAGAAGGGGAGTGTGAGAGGCAATAAACTAGTGTAGTGACGTGGGTGGGCAGATGAGAAGGGAGAGGAACGTTTAACAGCATGAGGACTTGGGTGGTGAGTACTAGCTAGTAGAGGTATAACACACCCAGATTAACATGATTTATATTTTTAGGAATAAAAATGGAAAGCAGGGGTTAAATGCTGCTTCTGGATTATAATACAAGGATTTCTTATTTCTGTCAACAGGTTTTCTTTCTAAAATTCAAGTCAAGTTAAATGTATTTGTTATGCAGATTCTTCAAAGCAGCTTCAAAGAAAGAGGAGCCTTTTGTAGATTACAAAATATAATTACCGTATTTTTCGCCGTATAAGACACACTTTTTCTTCCTCAAAACTGAGGGGGAAAAGTTGGTGCGTCTTATACGAGAAATGCAGAGCACCGCGGAGCGGAGGGTGGTCACGGCTGTAGGAGAGGCATGTGAGAGGCCGCGGCTTTGGCCTAAATCTGGAGCTGTCGGCCATATTTGTACACCCGGATGTGCGCGCTGACGTCATCGCCCATCTCTGCTCGTCGATCCTACCATAGCGCGTAGGACTCCATGAAGGAGGACATTGTTATAAAATCATTTAAGAAGTGTGGCATTAGTAATGCCTTGGATGGAACAGAAGACAACATCTTTCTTGACACCAGTGAGGAAGAAAGTGATGACAATGACTGCGTGGATCTGTCCTTCCTCATTTCTGATAGCAGTGACGAAGAGGAATTATTGGGGTTCGAATAAAAACATTACAGCCTTTTTTGTTTACTTTACTGACTGTTCATGTTACATGTTTGACATATAATTGTTCTTAAACTGCTGTTAACTTTTACACAGTTGATATAAAATATTTTACTACAGTATTTGGTTCAGAATCTTTTTTTTCTAGATCTTCCTCATTTAAAATTGGGTGCGTCTTATAAGGCGGAAAATACGGTATGTTGGCTTGAAAAGACTAAAGTTGGCTAGACGTTTCGAACTACAGCCAAACTTTGCCAAGACTTCCAAACTGGCCTGACTCGGGTTGCTATATTTTACCTTCATTGTAGAACCTTCAAACTGACAACACTTGTGGAGGTTTTCAGTCTGTGCAAGAACATACCAAGCACTGTAAAAAATGTTAAATATTTACCATTGACTTATAATGGCCATTAAAATTTGATTACAATAGCAACATGCATTTGAGAAATCCTTGACAGCTCCCTAGTAACTAAACTGTTTACCAAAATCTCAGCTTTGGCAAATGATAGAGACATGAGGATTGGCGTATATAACTTATAGTGATGAGGCAATATTATATTGTCACTGACCCCATCATAGCAACCAGGCTGTTTACCATAGCAACTAATTTGGGATATCTTTATTTCAGGTTGGTTTATTTCACTTAAATTGGCATTGGCTTTAAAACAGTATTTTTGCAAGGTAACAATACATTTTTGTGCAAATCCTAGCCATCTAGTTTGTTCTGCTATGAATGTGTTCAGTGGGACAGAGTGACCTAGATAAGTGTTTAGTTATGTGATTTAGATTCCTTTTAGTCAAGTTCTTATGATGTTTTATGTATTTTTTTTAAATGGTCAATTTAGAACAATCCATTTACCCGGGGTATTTGAAATGTGTTGGAGGAAAAAAACAGAGATTCCTAAGAAAAAAAGGAATCCAAAAAATCGAAGCATGCCTATCAAAAAAGTTATATTTTACTTCAGCAGCATTTTTCTGTCTGAAAGGAGATGTAGCACTTAGTTTTACAAAAGAGAACAGTTTTGTTAATAAATAAAAGCTTGGACAACAATGTGGCGCAGTGGGGAGCTGTAAGAAGGTTGCTGGTTTGAGGCCAGCTGGTTGTCTTTCTGACAGGAGTTTGCATGTTCTCGCCGTGTTTGTGTGGGTTATCTCCAGGATATTCAGTTTCCTCAAAATCATCTGTCAAGTTAATTGGATACTATAGATGCTCCTTTGGAGTGATTGTGTGTGTTGACATGGGAAGGACCTTTTGCCAGAAGTTGTCTTGCATCAGCTGAAACCTGTGACCATGTAAAGTATGAAGTGGGATAAGAGAATGGATGGATGGATGGATCATTGGATTGACAGAGCAAGAGAGAGTAAGAGAAAGAGAGATAAAATTACAGACATGATATTAAACATATAAAGAGAGGACATGGCGAATGTAAGAGGAAAATGAAGAGTGGTGCTTTGTCTCAATGTTGTATCTTCGAGAGCAGAGGCATCTACTAAACTGCCTGAGGGAGTCCTTCTGCTCCCTCTCTCTCTCTCTCTTTCAAATGAAGGCTGAAATTCCTCATGTCCATGAGAGGGAGAAACAGAAGGAAAGAGAGTGAGAAACCCAGCATTCCTTAAGCAGCACCATCACAACAAAAGAGCCATTGAGGTTGGACTTTAAGAAGTTGAAGAGTATGTCTAATTTTGGTCAAAGTTCATTAGAGAAGCACAAAAGCAGGAGCTCACTCAGAACATAAGGACAGTCACTGAGGCAAGTGCTTCATGCCAGTGCTGATAAGACGAGAAAGAGACTACAAAGCCCCCCTTAAGAGGACACTGTAATAGAGGGAAGGAGAGAGAGAAGCCAGAAAGGAAATGAGAAGGGGTCTGCTTTCC